GCTGCTGCAGCAGCTGCTGCTGCAGCAGCTGCTGCTGCAGCAGCTGCTGATGGCCAACTTCTGTGGAGCCGCTGCTGGGGCCTCCCATGGGAAGCGGCAGCAAATCGCTCACCCTGGGATCCGTGGGGGCCCCGCTGCTGCTGCTGCTGAAGCCCTGCGGCAGCAGCAAAGGGGTTCTCGTTGCTGCTGCTGCGCTGCTCACAAGACCCTGCTGCTGCTGCTGCTCCTCGCCTGCTGCTGCGTAGAGGCTCGCGGGAGGCGTGGACAAGCCTGAGTAGTTGGAAGCAAAAGTTGCTGCAGCAGAGACAGAAGGGGGGGCCCCCAAGGTGTGCAGGGGGCCCCCCGAGCTGCTGAGGGGGGGGCCCCCTGAGGAGTTTTCTGTGGCCCCATTGGCTGTGGTGAAGCTGTAGAACTGTTCCCCTTCTTCGGGCTCCATGTGCTGCTGCTGCTGCTGCTGCTGCTGCAGACCCTGTGGGGCCCCCGGCGCTGCTGCGTGTGTGTGGTGAGCAGCAGATGACAGAAGCAGAAGCAAATCATGTTTCAACTGGATGCGGGCAACTCAGCAGCAGCAAGAGCTGCGCTGCTGCACGAGTTTGCTGCTGCTTGCTGCAGCTGCTCGGGGGCCCCTCTGGGGGCCTCGCTGGCGGCAGCAGCGCCGGGTGTCTAGGCAGCTCTGGTTTCTTTCTTTTATTTTAATTCTAGATTAATTTTACTTTTTTAATTTCCAACTATTTCCTCAAAGTTGGGGCCACAAACGCTGCTGCTGGTGCTGCTGCCGCCGCCGCCGCTGCTGCTGCTGTTGCTGCACGGGTCCCTCCCGAGGCTCGAAGTCTCCGTGCAGCAGCTGCAGCAGCAGCAGCAGCAGCAAAGGCTCCATTCAAAAGCCAGCTTTAATTATATATTTACTTTTACTGCAAATATTTCACCGAAAGAAGCCTAAAAGAGTGGAGACACGGGGACGTCGATCAGCTCGTGCTGCTGCTCGTGCTGCTGCTCGTGCTGCTGCTCGTGCTGCTGCTCGTGCTGCTGCCGTTGTTGCTGCTGCTATTTTGTGCTGATCTTGCAGCAGCATATATTAATTTTGATGGACTCTCTACGGGGCCCCACAATTGTTTAGACAGGGGCCCCCCGGTGAGTCTGGGGTCCCCATCTCTAGCAGCAGCAGCAGCACGAAGAGCAGCAGCAGCAGCAGCAGCAAATGCAGCAGCAGCAGCAGCTGCAACGACTATGCACAGCTTTAGAGTATGATCAAAATCAGAGTGGGCAATTTCTAGCATGCTAACAAATTTCACTTGGCTGTACCTGCAGCAGCAGCAGTAGCAGCAGCAGTTGCTGCTGCTGCTGCTGCTGC